CAGAGGTTAGTTGCCTGCACCCCACTCCCCTTCCCCCAACCCCTGTGAATTCATCTGGAGTGAAGAGGTAGAGAAAAGGCCTTGGCAAAAACCACAAGTGGAGTTTTTAGGAGGAAAGGCTCAGAATGCAATGCCTGGCACTTTCTAAGAGTTCCAGTTGTTATGAGTGTGAACTTGAACCTAGAGGGATGGGGGTTGATTCCTGACTCTGTCATTTATATATGAGCCTCCTCTCTGTCCTTCAGATAAATCAGCTACAAAAGAGGGGTGATTTGTAGTATCTTCCTCAGGCCTGTTGTGAGGATGGAAAGAGCTAATACAGGTGAAATGCTTAGAACAGTGACTTCTCTTATCATGTGGGATTCCCAGACTTTCAGATGGGATTTTTTTGCTCTCCTGGGAAATCATGGGTGGAGTAGGGTTAGGACAGTCCAGTTGGGTGGGCCCTGGGCCTTCTGCTTCTGAGGGCAGACAGGAACCCTCTTCTGAGAGGCCCCTGGACCCACCCAGATCCCAGAAAGGGCTGGGGGTTTGTAGAGGATTGCCTTGTGGAGAGTTAAGGCACTGTTGGGTGTTGAGGCATTCCTTCAGGCAGGGAGGGACAGGGCCTTAGAAAGAGCACTGCTCCAGGATCAGACACTGGGTCAAGCCATTTGAGTCAAGACCACTCACTGGTCACCCTATCACTGTAGGAGAAAAGACACTGTGGCTTGTTGAGGCCTTTTAAAGGAGCATTACGTAGATTTTCATTACTTTGTAATGAAAGCAAATTTCAAGACAATAATGGTAAAGGAAAAACCCACACCATCTCTGCTATGGTGGGGGAGGGGGATGTCTGGGCCTTTGGGTCCTTGAGTGTTGGGGAATTGCTAGTTGACTGGAACATGGGCCCTTCCAGTTGGTGGCTTGAGGCAGGGGCAAGCCTCTAGTGTGGGGAGATCCTCAGGGCTCCAGTCCTGTCCTAGGTCCTCCAGCTCTGGGACGGGCAGGTGGTGGGTGTAGGGATGTGGGCTGCCCAGGTGACAGTCCATGGCTCAGGGTGGGGGAAGCCGCCAGGCTCAAGGCTCGGGGCCTCCAGGAGCACGGCCGCTGGACAGGTGTAGTGGCAAGAGCAGGCACAGGGCTGGCTCCCTCTGAGGACCCGAGGAGCAGAAGGGGTCGGGTCCAGAAAGCAGTCAGTTTCCTGTCCCAGGCGCCTGGCCCTTGGCTCCAGGAGGCTCGGAGAGAAGGCGCTTGTCCAAACCAGTGTTCCAGAAGCGGCAGGTTCTGCCTGCCTGAAGGAGAACCTGTTTCCGCGGTGCCAGCAGCAGGCGTGCGCCACCACCGACTGCCTCTGCAGCGCGGGCGAGAGGGTCGGGGAAGCGGTCCAGGTGTGATCTCCCGGCCGGGGAAGACCGACCTCTGGGCTCTGAGATCCAGTGCACCCTGCCCTGGGTTCCCAGATGGGCGTCGGCAGCTACCACGGATGAGAGGAGGACCGACCGTCAGAAGTCCCCTCACCACCCCCCGACCACGATCCCGCCGCGGAGACCCAGCCTCGCGGGAACTTCGACGGCCCGGCCCTCGCCACGGTTTGGGAGATGACCGAGCGCCCAAGATCAATATCCACGACAGCGGGGCGACGCTTATTGTTTAAAAAGAAGCTCCCTTTGTTCTTAACGTTTTACCAAAATGAGAAGCAAAAACAATTTTTTCCTGATCAAAATTTTCCTGGCACAAGCAGCCAAACCATCTCCCGAATCCCCAGGCCCCCGTCCCAGGTCTCCTCGCCCCTGCCTTTCGGCCGGGTTGCGTGCTTGCCGCTGCGAGGCCCCGCATCTGGCTGGAGAAGGTACTCAGGGCCCCAGACTGTCGCACCACAGCGGGGTCTGCCGGCCTCTGAGGCATTCCCCACCCCCTGCTGCCGTCTCTGGAGCGGGGTTTTCTTGGGAAGCGAAGCGGCTCCAGTGGATCAGGGCCTCTGGTGGCCCAGGCCCGGTTTCCGATTGCATTTAACACAACCCGCGCATCTTATCTCAGCGTAGCCTCCCCGGGGTTCCCACCCACCCCCCGGACCAGCCCAGCCCAGCCTGGCGGAAGCAGAGCCGCGAGCTTTTGAAGTCCGGAGAATTTCAGTCCGAGAGGAGCCGGTTGGACCTCAACGCATCACCCCAGCGGGGGAGGGGACAGCAGGACAGCGGGGGGGGGGGGGCCCTCCCCTCTGAGGGAGGTGAGAAGCAGTAGGGGCCCGGGCTGGACCCCACTTAGGCGCTATCAATCCCCTCTCCGCTTTTATGGGGTTGTCCAGGCCTTGGTAGCAGCGAGCTTCACTCCCTCTGCGAATAACACTTTCCTTCTCGAGCGGTGTCGGGAATAACCTTCATGATACAGTAATAACCACGCTATTAACATACCCCACCCCATAAACCAAAACAAAAACAAAAACAAAAAAAACGCCAAAAAACAGTATTCTTATCCAGTCCTCTCCTGTTTTCTTCTTCCTCTTGTTAAAAATCCGACCTCTCTTCATCTGATGTTGACGAAAGGATGCTTTTGGAAGAAGTGACATTTGGTTAAATTTTTTTTTCCTGCCCCTAAAGACTTGGGAAATTGAGGCTGTTTCGAAAGGGCGGAGGAGTCAGGAGAGGGATGGGGTGGGAGTGGGGCTGAGCGGGGGCGTCCCTGAAGCTTCAGATCTGTAGCCCAGAGGAGGCAGCCCCTCTCCCGGAGAGGCTGATCCCCGGCTTGAGCCTCCTTCCTCCCCGGGATGCAAGGGGAAGCCCCATTCGGTTGGGCCGAACCCAGGAAGGAGACCCAAGTGGCACCTCTTGATCTCTCAATCCTACTCCTCTTTCATCTCGCAGGGAAAACCCAAAGGAAAAGAGGATCAAACGCAGAGCCCTCTCCTTGAATGCAAAGCTGGGGGCGGGGCGGGGGAGCCCGGAGACCCTCTGAGGACCCGGCCCCACTGAGGTGAGCACAGAGGGGGCGGCTGTGAGAACGTGGCGGGTTCACATGGGAGGGGAGGGTGGGCAAGACCCAGGCCCAGTGCAGGAAGGGCCCAACTGAGGGTGGGCGACCGTGGCAGCTCTAACACAGACGCTGAGGGCTGGACTTTGACAGGAAGGAGAGACAAGCCAGGTGCTCCCTCAAGTTCTGGCTGCTGGCTGGGGAGGGCAGGGCACGACAGAATCCTAGGACAGCTCTGCACTGCAGCAAAAGACTCTGGGATATGATCCCCTCCACTCTTAATCGCTCCTCTCACCTTTAAAATATTCCCCAGGATTTTTGGGCTAGCAGTGCTCAGCAGATGATGGCTTTGAGTGTCTCAGGAAGTGGAGATGATTAGATGGACATTACCTCGGGATCCCCCTGCCCTCCCCTCTCCCTGAGGCTAGGTTGATGAGCATCTTCTTATGAAATAGGGGGAGAAGTCGAAACGAGGAGTGAGAAGGGAACTTGCCCCTCTCCCCGAATCCCTCGCTTTTCCCACCGCCTCCATAAGCCCAGAGATATGAAGACTGAGGCAGGGAGAGGAGGGAGATGAGTAGAGAAAAAGAAAAAGGAAAGAAAAGTAGGAGATAGAAAGAAGACAGAAAATACAATGATGGACTTTTCTCTAGAAAAGTGGAAATTGGGGCTTCTTGGGACACGGAGAAGGAGGAGGGTGCAGGGACAGCCCTTTGGGGCTGGCTACTTAGAGCTATAAGCTCTGAGGCGGGGGTGATGAAAGGAGAGTTGTAGGGGTCAGAGAGCAGAGAAATCCCTCCCCTCCTGCTCTCAGCAAACTGGGGAGAGACCCAGCCAACCTGCCTAGCCCCGACATACTTGCTCAGAGCTGGCAAGGGGTCAGTTTCCTACTAGGTTCTATTCCACCTTCCCTGGAAGAAGACCTGAGAGGGATCCTGAGGCTGCTCCCAAAGACATTGAGCACTACACCCCCCACCTCCCCAGCCGTCAGCCCTGCCATAGAGCTTCCCCTCTGTCCTCAAAGATTTATGAAATCCCCAGTCATTTGCTCTTTCAGGGCATTTTCAGTGACTTCTCTCTCTTCTACCCCCGCTGCCACCCACTTTTGGAGCAGGGGACTGAAGCCCCTGGGCAGGCCCTGTGGGAGAATGCTCAGAGTCAAACCTCTGCTAACCCCAGTGCCTCGTGCTCAGGCACTCTCAACCCCTGCCCCAGATCTCCGGGTGAGAAGAGCGCCTTCTCCCCGCTCAGTGCCTCCGGCGCTGCTGCTGTTGGGGCCGCTTTTGTTTGCACCTCTTCACTCACATAACCTGTTTCTGGGGGAATTCGTTGACTCTCAACGAATACCTTAAAATACGGGCAACAAAAGAAAAAAGGGCACACTTAGAACCTCTCCCCACCCTACATACCTGAAGTGCAAGCGAGGCCGGAGCAAATGGGAAAGCGATTTCTTCCACGAATAGCCACCTGGACGTCACACTGGGCTGCGCAAAGCTTAAGGCCACCTAGATGGGGAGGGGCAAATAAAAAAAATCAGTGAACATTTTGAGTCAGCAGCCAAGGCGGGTCTTCAAAGAAAAAATATTAAGGCGTTTATCTTTTGGCCCTTAGGGAAGAAAAATAGCAAGGTTTTCTTTTGGTTCCCAGGAGGAAGGAGACAGCTGGGGGTAGGGAGTGGGAGGAGGAAGAGAGAGGAAAGGATACCCCAGGCTCAAGCTCTGCAGACAACTTGGGGGGGAGGGAGCATGTTTTTCGGTAGCTTGTAAAAAGACTTCGGAATCGGTGCGAGGTTAGCTCGCCAGGGACAGGCAGTTGTAATAACGGCAAGAGAAGCGAGGCTTGCGAGTCGGCCTTCACACTTCTAAAATGCAGTTATGGATTCTCTCATCAGTGTTAGATCAAGGCACCAAGTTAAGAAAACAAAAGCCAAAACAACAATCAAAAAAAAAAAAAATCAAAAGCGTACTCAATTACCAAGCCCCGCAGCCCCTGCGGAACTCGCCTTGCGCGTTAAGCTCTCTTTTCTTTCTGCGAAATTCCATTTGCATCCCCTCTGCCTGGGTGTCTCCCTCTCTCAGTGTGTGTGTCTCTCTGTTTTCACACTCTCCTCCCCATTCGAGCGAGGCCCACACCTGGCGCATCACTGCCGAGCCATTAGCTGCGGGTCTCCTTTCATCTTCGCTGTGGCAGACGTTTCTATTTATCCACTTGCGCTCGCCGAGTGGCGTCACCAGCGGTACTGTAATGACGATTGCAGCAGGAGGATGACAGCTTAGAAAGAAGAGGGCAATGGGGCTTCCTCCCAGAGGCGGTGCGGCACAGAGGAGCGCTCGCATCACAAGGTGACCCCGGCTCCCCACCGCCACCACCGCCGTCACCGTCGACATCGCGCTCCGGCCGCTTCGCGCCCGCCCAGTCGCCTGGCCTCTCTTTCTCCCTCCCGCAGCCAAGATCTGTCGGACTGCTGGGGACCCAAGAAGCCGGTGGCTAGGAGCTCATTTGGGGCTTCCCCCTCACCCCCGGAGAGCCCCGGGATGGAGAGCCGAAAGGACATGGTTATGTTTCTGGATGGGGGTCAGCTTGGTACTCTGGTTGGCAAGAGGGTCTCCAATTTGTCCGAAGCCGAGCCGCTCGAGAAGATGGTCCCCCGTGGTTGCTTGAGCCCGCGGGCAGGTCCTCTGGCCGCCCGGGAGCGCGGCGGGGGAGGCCCGGAGGAGGAGCCGGTCGACGGACTAGCAGGCAGCGCTGCGGGGCCGGGTGCCGAGCCGCGGGCAGCTGGGGCCGCCGTGCTCGGCCCCGGACCTCCGGCCCCCTCCTCCGACAGCCTTTCGGGCCAGGGGCAACCCAGCAGCTCGGACACTGAATCGGATTTCTATGAAGAAATCGAGGTGAGCTGCACCCCGGACTGCGCCACGGGGAACGCCGAGTACCAGCACAGCAAAGGTAGCCACCGCACCCCTTCTCTCCCCAGGCCTCCCACCGTGCCCACCTTTCACTTCAGCTCTGGAGGGGAGGAAGACACTGCTTTCCACCAGGGCAGGGTGGCTGGGGGGACCCACATGAGCAACTGTCCCCTGCTATCTGTGCCCTGGCGGGGGTCTCCTTCTGTGCTCTGGCATTGGCGGGACTGAGGGTGACAGCTGTGCTTTGGGGGGAGGAGGGAGACGCAAGCTCTGGGCTTGAGGTGGATTCAGAGTGCACCCCAACCCTCCAGAGTTTTGTGGTACTGATTTAACTACTCCAGGAAGACACCTTCCCCCGGCGTGGGCGAGATCAAACGCAGTTTGTGGTGGCGGGGTGCAAGGCGCTTCCAGGCGCGGAAGCCGGGAGTCCATAAAGGACCGTAAAATCTCGGCAGACTCGGGCCGCTGGGGTGCTGCGGCCCTCCGACCAGTTTGCACGTCGGTCAGAGGTCCAAATTACCTTGTCACTTCCTGGGCTCGGTGGCGCCAGGTCGGAAATGGTCCCAATGATCTAATTGCCTTTGGTCTCCGGTTGCATTTGAAAAGGCAGAGCCCTGCCCTCCCCCCTTCCCCTTTCCTTCCCAGTCCTGCTTCTCCACCCAAAGGAAAAGGAGCTGCAGGGGGCCGAGCCCCACCCTTCCCTGGGTTAGGCTCCAAGGTGGGGGTGGTGGTGTCACACTGCTTTAACTGGAGAACCCCTCCCTGACCAGGGGCTAGTATGGAGGGGGGGTAGTGAATGGCTAGGAAGGGAGTCTCCCTGAAAGGGGTGGAAGTCTAGAAGGGAGACCCCACCAGCAGACACTCCTTCACACAGCTGTGGGAGTGGGTTCCATGAGCCTGGTATGGAAGAAAAGCCACCTCCTGGCCTTGACAGCCAACACTGTGTTGAGCACCCACATCCACCCATTACCATCTTATCCACTCAACCCAGACTCCCTAACAGTAGCATGCCCTCAGAATAATCCATACTCCACTCAAATATAATAAGGTAATAGGATTCTCATACATACACTCCTGTGCCATTCCTGCAACACATGCAACCTAGTATACATTCCCACACCTGCCCTGGCAGCCTGGCACACACAAAAGCATGGAAACTCAGTTCACGCCCAGAATCCTACAATGCACTAAGACCCAGAGTTCACAACACTCCAGCACGGAGGAGCATCCCAACTCACTTGCCTGTCAGATATGCACATCCTTGTCTGCTCCTGCCCACGGTGGACAAAAAGCTCAGAGGGCTGCATCTCGCCTGTGATCCAGGGCAGGTGGCTAGAGTGGCGGAGGCTTCTGTCCCCAGCAGGCCTTAGACAGAGTCCTGCCAAGCAGCAGCCTGGACAGGCCTCATGGCTGCTATGTGCTTACCGGATTGGTGAGCCCCCATCCTTCCTTCCTGGGTTCTGGAAGTCCGGGTGCCCCAGCAAAGGCAAAGACTGAGGTTACTGAGAGGGGGGTGTCCCGTTCTACCCCTCCTGCACACACACCCTGGGTCTACAGCCCCACATCAGCAGCGTTTGTGTCTGTTGTGTGTTCTGTGTGTGCGTGTGCTCTGGGTTCCCTGCTCAGGGCCCAGCTCCGAGGCACTGGCCAGCAGTCCCAACGGTGGCAGCGAGGCCCCCAAGAGCAACAGTGGCGGCAGCTCGCAGGGCACCTTGGCCTGCAGCGCCAGTGACCAGATGCGACGTTACCGTACCGCCTTCACCCGGGAGCAGATTGCACGGCTGGAGAAGGAATTCTACAGGGAGAACTACGTATCCAGGCCTCGGAGATGCGAGCTGGCGGCTGCCCTAAACCTGCCAGAAACCACCATCAAGGTATGAGCTCTGGCTGGGAGAGGGGGTGCACCCACTCAGCAGGAAGTAAATACCAAGTGCCCATTCCCTGAATTGTGAGCCAGGAATGGGGCCTGGGGTCTCCCTGCCCACTGGCAGCTAGGCTGAGGATGTCCAGGCACCAGGTGCTTGCAGATTTACCCTCCCCACTGTCCCTAGGTGGGCACTGCTGCCATGCGGTTGACTCTGTTCCTTTCCTAGCCAAACAAACAGCAGCGATGGGGTGCTTGTGCAGGTGACAAGGAAGTGATCCCCCCAGAGCAGCTGGAAGGGGATGTGTTTCTGGGGAAAACTGCCTGCTGCCTCAGACGGGTGGAGTCCCTAGTCCCTCCACTACTTGCACACTCACACCGGGTTCTGGCACACCAGGGGGTCCTGGCCACCTGGGCAGAGGGGAGGAAGGACAGAGACTGGTGTCACTCCCTGAACCTCTCATGGGGGGATATTAGCTCCAGGAGGTGGTGGTGGGAACTGCCCCCACCCAGAGGGTCTCTGCCTTGGCTCTTCCCTGCGCTGGGGGCATCGGGCATCATCTTCTGCAGTGGGGCAGGACTCTGGGCTCTGCTCACTGGGCCGAGTGCAGCCTCCAAACCCGCTGCTCTTCTCCCCGCCAGGTGTGGTTCCAGAACCGGCGCATGAAGGACAAGCGGCAGCGGCTGGCCATGACGTGGCCGCACCCGGCAGACCCCGCCTTCTACACGTACATGATGAGCCACGCGGCGGCCGCGGGCGGCCTGCCCTACCCCTTCCCGTCGCACCTGCCCCTGCCCTACTACTCGCCCGTGAGCCTGGGCGCCGCGTCCGCCGCGTCGGCCGCCGCCTCGCCCTTCAGCGGCCCGCTGCGCCCGCTCGACACCTTCCGCGTGCTCTCGCAGCCCTACCCGCGGCCCGAACTGCTGTGCGCCTTCCGCCACCCGCCGCTCTACCCGGGCCCGGCGCACGGACTGGGCGCCTCGGCCGGCGGCCCCTGCTCCTGCCTCGCCTGCCACGGCGGCCCGGCCAACGGGCTGGCGCCCCGCGCCGCCGCCGCCTCGGACTTCACCTGTGCCTCCACCTCCCGCTCGGACTCCTTCCTCAACTTCGCGCCCTCCGTGCTCAGCAAGGCCTCCTCTGTCGCGCTGGACCAGAGGGAGGAGGTGCCCCTCACCAGATAAGGGGCCGCCCGCGGGCTGCCGGCTCCAGGACGCCCGTGGGGGCCCCCCCGGGGACTCAGCCAGCGCCCCTCCCCGCCCCCAGGGCACCGAGGGGAAAGAAGAGGGTCGCAAAGAACCAACGGGACTCGGCCTCGAGGATCGGGACGCCCGGGAAGCGGCGTGGCTGGCGCGTTTGGGGAGCAGGAGTGGAGATGGGGAGGCAGAAGCTGAGAGACCTTTCTCTGGGGCGGGCCCTCTTTGCCGTTCTTCACCGGACCCGCAGCCCCTGAACAGGGTTGCCGCCGTGGCTCCAAAGCTGAACAAACTTAGCAGCAACAGCAACCAATACTCAGCCCCTCAGCACCTGCCCCCCGCCCCCCCACCTCCCGCCCCTTCCTCACCCGGGACCCCTCCCCTCTGTCCAAGCCCAAGCGTGGAAGGGGAAACTGCTATGTCTTTGAACAAAGTGCTGTGTATGCAGAGCAGGTAGAGATTAATCTTTGCCAGCTTTTCCAAGGCATGGCGAGGGGCTTGCGGATGGCAACGCACCAGCCATCTACGGGAGAGAGTTAGATGATTTACTACCAAGGAGAATCCTGCCCCTAACGTGGGGGCTCTCTTGCCTTCCTGGAGCCTCAGTTACACAATATCTTCTGGCTCTGGCATCTACCAGCACCTGATCTCTTCCCTCTCTCCTAGCTTCTTGATATCTCTCAAGTAGCAACTCCACCACCCCCACCCCCACCCCCACTTTTTGTTTAACGTTGGCAGGGAGATTACAGATGCCCCAGGGCCCCTGGGCAGCTCCTACCAAGCCTCTTCTCTCTGGGCCCAACACACACCCTGATTAGCAAGTGGTGCGTGTGAGGAGGGTTTTTGAATGTTGAATGTATAATAATGATCACCATGCGGCTGGCCACTGAGCCCAGAGCTGAGCTGTTAACAAGGCGCCCAGGGAAGAGCTTAGGGAGGAGGGACCTAATCTCCCTCCCTCAGTATCTGGCAGCAAATTAGAGGCTATTTCCAGCCTTTGCTTGTTCGCCTTCCCTTCACCAGGAGCCTTCTGGCTCTTCCTTTTGCATTTGGCATTTTACATCCTTCTTCCTCTTTTTTCCCCCCAAGCTGCCACTGGGGTGTGACTCTCAGCTACTAGCAGGAGCCTTCCACCTCTTCTGGGGGACTTGTCTCTCCCCTTCACCAGCCACTCCCAAACTCTCACTCCTGCACTTGTTCTTCCAGCCAGTTTTTGGGGGATAAGAGAACTTGTACCCCCCAAGGCCAGCCTCACCCTGACTGGGAGGGAGAGGTTCTTCCTGTAGGGAATGCATTTGGTTTGGTTTTCCTTTGAAGCCCAAAGAATTTGCTGTTACAATTTGTTAACCGAATTGCAATAAAGCTGGACATGATTCTCACTTTAGCATTTAAAATTTTTTTGGCAGCAGGCAGTATGTTGACTCTTTTTGAATTGCTAGTTCAGTCACTATAGATTTGGACAGGAAAAGAACCCGAAGATGCACCCACAGACAGCCTCCCAAGCCTCTGGTGGGCATTGGCAGGCTCCAAATGGATATTGCACAGAAGTGGAGAAGGCAGGCTCTGAGCTGCCCTGGGGTGCGTGTTTCCTTAATTCTGTGCATGCTGGGAGCCTTCCATGGCTAAATTGGCCCAGCAGAGCACTGACCCCACCTGAGGGCTCACCCCTTCGATAGTTCCTTCTCCAATTGCTCCAACCCTTTGAGGAAAGGGGACCCCGGACTATAGTCTCTGTGGATCTTACCTCCACCCCAACTCAAGGTGGAGAGAATGGGGCACTGGGGAGGGAGCTTGAGCACTGCAGAGCTGAGTTTGCTGGTCAAGCTGGGTCTACGTCTTAGGGTGTGGGGAGAGGAGGGAGAAGGACTCCTGGGGTGGGATGAGAGGGTCCGAATCATCCTCAAACTGGAAGTCATCTCCAAGGATGGAATTCTGGGCTGGTCAGGGCAAGGGGACAGATAGTGCTCAGAGCCACCTCACCTCCATCTTCTGTCCCCATAGGAGAGCCACTGTGGCTGCCTCTGAAGTCCTGCTCAAGCGGGGGAGAGATGGGTGCCCTCAGCAGGCTGGGAACTCAGGATTGCATGGACTCCAAGGGTCTTCTGCTGGTGTATCCTGGGCAGGTGGGGGCTCCTCAATTGGCCTCCATCCCTCCTTGGGTTCCAGAGCAAACCTTCCTGCACACCGTGGCCCCTGCCCTCCCAAGCAAAGCCTTGTGCTGAGGTTTCCAGCATCCTCCCTGCTACTCTCCCTACCCCCAGGCCGGCACAGCTCCCAATGCAGCCTTCATTGCAGCCGAAGCTCCCAGTGCCAAACCCCGGCAAATTTCGCCATTGCTTCGCATCGGGCCAAGATTGCTTGCGACAGGTAAATGGGCTGCGGGCTGCTGTAATGCCAGCGTATTTTCAGTTAATAGGGAGGGAAAATGAGGTGTCTGCAGCGATATTGGAAAGTACAAGATCGATGATCCGGCCTCGTGTCCAATCAGCAGCCTTTAATTGACTGTATTTTCTGGGTAATTGAGCCTCTCTTCCTCCAAATTGAAGTGGAAGATATAACAATACATCTTGCCAGGAGGAATTACTCATTACTTCATAATGAAATTTCCCTTTTGCCAAGGTTTGCGGTTTGGTGCTAGGCACCATTTCTCACACTCCCTCCTCCACTCCCGCACCTAAAAACAGGATTTGCCCACCTGGCAATGCATCTGATCTGATACTTCCATTTTGGGGGTGGGGAGGGTGGGAGATGATCATGAAGTGGGCGCTGCCCCTCCACAGCGTCAATCTCTTCATCTGTAAAATAAGAAGCCTAGACCAAGCAACAGGGCTGACATGGTACTACTGTTTTCGTTTTTCAACTTTCTCAGCACCCCTCCTTAGCTTTGCCCCATCTCGCTCCCATTTTGCAGGTGGGAAAATGGAGGCTCTGGGTCTCATACAGCTGTTAGCGGCCCTTGCAGCTATGAGCTCCAGGCTCAGGCTTCCTCTCCCTTGCCCTGGGCCTCTTTGGGGCTTAGAGTGTATGGTCCTCTCTCGCGAAGTCTGACACCTCACTCCTGCCGCGAACTTCCCCTGGGCTCCTCAACCTAGTCGAGGAGCCTTGAGCACAAGCCAGCGCTCAGCGGCGGTCCGCCCTGCCTGGCCAGGCCAGCCGTCCCGCAGCCTGAGTGTGTGCTCAGCGCGGGCCGTCGCCTGCTTGTTAGCGAGTGATTGATTGCCTTATTAAAGCGTGTTCTTGTAAGTGTGACCAAACTGATTGCATTGCATATGTTTGGGATAATGCTCATTTTAAACAACAGGAGAAAGAGGATGAGCTCGGCAGAGCCTCCGAAGATGAAATGATTCCGGCCAGCAGCTCCCTAACTCCGGCATTAAATCGCCCAGTTACATAGCAAATCATTTGGTTCCTCCACCCTTGTCCCTATTTTTTTTTTTCTGGCAACAGTTTAATTGCATCCCCCAATGTGTCCTGCCCCACGAATGGTTTCTCTAGTTGACTATATCTGTTTTGCCTTTCCAGCCGGGAACCCTGCGCCAGCTCACCCCAGCGATTGAGTCCAGCTGCCCCCATCCCAGGCAGAGGGAGAAGTGATTCAGAATACACCCTCTCACTCTAGGCCTCCCAGGGGGACATGGACCTAGCCGGCCACTGCCAACAGGAGCTTAGGTCTCCCGCAGCAAGTCGTGTGTCTCCCCGCCCCACCCTCAGCCCTTACGTAAAAGTTTAAAAGGTTCTTTTGTTCCCCAGTCTTCTCTCGCTCAGTTGCTTCCATTATCCCCCAATCGAAGAAACAAACACCCGCCGCCATATGTCGGCCGAAGGGCGTGGGTGTCACGGCGGACAGTTGTTGAGGATGGCCAGACTGGATGGCATTCTCAAAGTGGAAAGAGCTTATTTTCCTTCTTAGCAACCACTCCATGCACCGTCACACCGGAGTCAGTGAGTGGGAGGTGGGAAAGGAGGTTGGGGTAAAAAATTGGGATTTCTTCTAATTACTCCACCCGCCACCAATCGTTGTGGCCAGGTTCCCTTTCTGTGCCTCTTCTCTAACAAAGAAATCCTCAGCCGGCCTCCACCCACTCCAGGCCACTTGCGCGGGAGCCAAACTGCTGGCAGATTGAACTTCCTAAGGGACACCTTTAGGATACGCCGGAATTCTGATTTGTTCAAGATGATTACGGTCATCAGGACAAGTCAGAAACGATGCCACTCTTCGGGTTGTCATTTGTAAGTGCAATCGCACAGATTCGTTTGCAAGACCCAGCTAAAGCACGTCTGGATAAGTGACTTGATCCAAAAGGCAAACATCTTCCATCATGCAGCTCTTCCCGGGCTCTGCAGGGGCAGGCACATCAGACTGTATTAGGGCGAAACTAAAGCCCAACTCACCATTTGTGCTAGCTTGCAGGACTCTGAAATGTTGACCCTGATGGGGGGAGGGCCGGGGTGGAGGGGAACACGCCAACCACAAAACGCATGCTACCTCCTGCAAACAGAAACAAAGTCATTTCCAAAATCGCCTTCTCAGCAAATAAGTATGTGATATTCTGAGCAGGAGCAGGAGAGAGAGAAAGATTGCCACTTAAAAATAACACGAAAGCATTAAGTAATTATTTAAAACAAGGCTGTTTAGAAAAATATTTGTATTTATTGCAGCTGCTCAATTGGCCTCGTTAAAGTCGGCAAGCATTTAAATTGTGTTACAATCTCATTTAAATCTCGCTCGGTTCCAGCAGGCTGAAGAGCTTGAATAGACCAATCACTTCATAATGATGATGAATGAGAAATTAATTCAGATACAAGCAAGACAATTTGGGCCTTCATCTGTTTAAATAGCCTTCCAATATTATTCGCGATCGCGGGTCACAGATTGAATCAATTGTCCAATCTTGTGAAAGTCATATCCTTGCATCTTCATCGAGATTATTTATAGCGCAATGAGGGCTGCTGAAAGGTATACGCTGTTAACAGGGACAATTACTTAAAGGGAAGCGTTTATAAAATGGAAAACAAATGCCGGGGTTAGTAACAAATGGGATCAAAAGCTGCCATTCCAATCTGGCTCCTCGAGGGAAGGGAGTGGGCTCGGCCCCCGCAGGATGAGGGGCGCTCCGGGCTGGGCCTCTGGCCTCCCCACCGCCCAGGTGAGGCCAGGTCTTCCGGGCGCGCCGGCCTGCGCCCTGGCTGAGGTGGCGACGCGGGGCCACCTTCGCCCTCGGCCGCTTTCAGGTGGGCGGGAAACCGCAGCAAGGTCCTCCGAGCCCCCAGCCAGGGGTGAGGTTCCCGCCTCCGCGGCCCAGACGGCGGCCCGGTGTGGCCCGGGACCGGTATCCCGAGGAGCCCCGCGGACGCGGACCCCAGGGCGTTCTACTTTGTGCTGGGGGCTCGGCCTCGTCGGGATCAGACCGGGTCCGACGCGCACCCCTCTTGGTGGCAGAGGTCGGGAGGCCTTGCCGCGCGCACAGGGCAGGGGCGGGGGTAACTGGCGGCTTCTGGACTCCGGAGGCTTAGCCTTCTCTTAAACTGGGCCTCCTTCTAAGCCGACGGCGGGGAAAGGCTCCCATTGCTGCAGGGCCCCTCACCCTTGCAGTTCCGGGACGGGAAGCGCGCCCGGGGTCGCTTAACGTCCTTCCGAGCCTGGGCCCGTTCTCCGGCGGGCTTTCTGGATGCCCTCTGGTCTGTGAGCAGCGTCCAGTTCTCCAAAGAAGAGCCCTCTCCTTCCTCCATCGAAGTGCCCCTCCCCGTATCCTGAAATACCCCCTCCCGGGGAGGCCAGTTCCCCTTCGTCGTTCCCCTCCGGCGTCCGGGCACCTCGCTAGGGCCAATGCAGCCCAGGCGGCCATCACGAATTTGAGGTGACATGTGGCTCCCTGAGGTGTCTACTTGCCCTCCCTCAGCCGGGTTAGGCAAAGAACCCGAACAATGTGCGCGGGGAGGTGGGTTTGTTTTCCCCGAATCGGTACAGGCGCGCTTAGGCACAACTGTGCCGCGTCTACACCTGCTCTGTTTGTGCGCGGGGGAGAGGGAGGCTTTCTAGGCGGCGCTCTTTGGGGATGTAAGTGAAGTGGGCTCGGAACGGAGAAGCGGGGAAGATCGTTTGATGTGCCGAGCCTGGAGCAAGACGGGAGAGCGAGAGGCTCCCAGGGAACACAGAGTGGAGTCCACGCGGTACAGCACACGAGCCACTCCCGTTCGCGTCGAGGTGTATTTTTTTTCCTTCCTCTGTATTTCTGTGTTTTTGAAACAAAAGCCCAACTAATGGATTCCTGGCACTCTGAGGACCCACTCCCGGGAGCGACTTTGATGTATTGCTGTCCAATTAGTGCCTTTAATTGGTGTCCTCCGGGACAGGCCGGCCGGGAGCT